CTTTGAATACACAGATACAAAATGGACATTCATCTGTATCCCCCTTTTTGTTTAGTTCCATTATTTGAATATTATAGGTGTGTTAACTCAGCAAAATATTCTAAAAGAGTCTAGTAGTCCATAATAGTATTGGGTCTTTCACTTGACTGGCAGTGTCAGAAATTGTTGACAAGAGTCCCCCACAGCTCAACAAGGAAATCCATGGTAGTTCCTTTCTTATCTCCCTGTCTCAGTTGTTTTCTCCTCACTGAGACCTAGTGTCTGACACCCACGATCCTAAGGAGGAAAGGTGAACTTGGGCTCACCGTTTGCAGCACTTTCAGTCCCTAGTCAGCTGGCTACAGGGCAAGGAGCATGGCAGAAAAAGACTGCTCAAGGCACAGCAGGGAAGCATCTGAGAAAGCGATCAAAGGAGGGGCAGGGAGAGAGAGCCCTCTAGGCGGCACCCCAGTGACCCACCTCCTCCAACCTGGCCTCATCCCCAGCACCACATTCATGCTATAAACTCATCAAGCGGACAATTCACTCAGGATTATCATGCCCCAATGATCTGATCCCATCCTAGAGGCCCCACCCAGGAGCATGAGACTTTGAGGGGACATCTAGACGTGAACCTAACACTTCCTACTCCACCTTCAACCCCAAAGCACAGAGCCATAAAGGGCCCATTAGCCCTATCTCTCTCATTCATGCCACCTGGCAAAGTCTGACACGTTGAGGATACTTACTAAATGTCTCTTGAATGAATGAATGAATGAATGAATGAATGAGTAGCCAACTCCTCAAGCCATCATGTACCATTTTATTATAGTTTTATAGCATCCATTATTTAGTGTTACTTATTAATAGAAGGGAGGAAACACGGAGAGCAAAATTTCCTGGCCATTTCCTAGTATATCGATCACTGATATTTATTGAGCATGGGCTAGGAACCCTGGCAGCACCACTGTCATCCACTTCTGTGGGCACTACCTCCTCTTACTGTCTCAAGGACACTGTGAAGCAGGTATGTTAATGTTGTCCCCGTGCAGGTTAAGCAAGTGAGGCTCATAATGACTAATTTCAGCTGCCTGAGGTCTCATACCTGCACCATGGCAGAGCGGAGATCACGATGCAGGCCTGGGCAGCTTCAGAGCCCTGCCCTTTCCCTAAGAGGCCAGGGCCTTAGAAATCTGTTTCTTGAATCTGACAACACATTGAAATTCTCTCTCTCTCTCTCTCTCTCTCTCTCTCTCTCTCTCTCTCTCTCTTAATCTGTGCTCTGTCACTGTAGGTTCTGATTTGATTATTTTATTTGTCCAAGATTTATCTCCGGCATGGAACTTTTCACCGTATCCCTACCTCTGCTCTCACAACATGCAAATTGAGATTGAAAGCTATTGCCCTGACAGGCAAAGAAATGGGCATGGGGCCTGCCAAACACGTGTCTTTGGTGGGGCCTGCAGGCAGAGCTCCCTGAAGAAGGCCTCTATGGGTGTGTACCATGGTCTCTCTCAGACAGATGCACAGCCTGGAGAAGGGAGGACTCTGTATCAGAGGTCTCCTTGGAAAGCATGGTGTGGCTTACTCATCTGGAGCATGAGAACAGCAATAACTCTGGCACAGTGTAGCTGGAACTCCAGAACTTGAAGGCTGGAATTTGGAGCTTGGCCCTGGGACTCAGGGAAGTTGGATGACTTGCCCACTGTGGAGCAGTACAGATGTGGGCAAAGCTGAGAAGCAGAACAACACAGTGGATAAGAGGCTGGGGTCACACTGACTCATGGCTCCAAATCTAGAAAGATCTTTCTGGCTCTGTGGTTCTAAACATCATAGTCAGAAGAGCCTGAGGGGATGGCTAGGAGGATGAAGCAACATCTGCAGGCCCCAAGATTCACATCTTTCCTGCACTGAAGAATTGAAAAGTTCCCATGTGCCTGCTGGAGCAGGTCACACAGTAAAGCATGTGGGAAATTTTACTTTCTTTTGGAGAAAACCCATGTCTCCTTCTGCCTACTTAAAAAGGGAAGCTCCTTTAAAACTCAAAAACTACAGATATAGAATGGTTGAGATCTTTTTCTGATTAGAGGAGAAAACTGGAACCTACACATATTTGGCCAAAGACTTGACAGTTTGCAAGATGACAAAGGTGGGCATAAAACATGAGTCTTCGACTCTTGACTCATTGTGTCTTCTAAATCCATCCTGAGATGTGACTATTATTATTGACTATTATTGTGATGGGGCCTGAGAGGATGTGTGGGTAGAAGAAACAGGAATAAGAATGGTAGTCAAAACATCTGACAACAAGAGGGAATCAGGTCCTTGGAATCAGAACACACATCACCTCCATGGGTCTCAACTGAATGTTAGCTGGACTTTATTGACCACTGGACATTTTCTGAGGACAACTGCATCAGCATCAGGAGAGACAGAGGGGAGATTGATCTCTTTGCTCTATAGTTCTTAAGGATGGAGTTTACTTCTGAGAATTGATTAAAACTTGTTTTTGATGACCTTGCTTAGACTTCTATCAATATTTTTCTTCTATCAATAGTATCTGGAAAACTGCCATCCTGGCTTTGACAGATATGTGATGTTTTAATAAATTTAGGGCAAACAGTTCACTTCTTCCTACAAGTGTAGATAATATTCTTCTATTATCACTCCCAGATGTGGGTACAAGCTAATATGAACAGTAAATTTCAGAAAGACATCAATATAGTCTCATATTCCCCACTGGGAAGGAAAAGTTTTGAGGCTAATCATAGAGGCAAGCCGAATTTCCTTTCTGATTCTACCTGTAGCCATTTGGTTCAACCAAATGAAATTTCTGAAATGTGATTATTTTGACCCTCAGATATGAAAATTTAATATGGTTCAAATAAGTATCGACAGAACACCCGTCCTGCTCTGGCTGATGTCCTGCAAGTGCAGAGAAGTGCATGCGCTGGATTCCTAACTTTGGCTGGTGACTTTTGTTTTCTCTAAATATGATGCAGAAGATGTAGTGCTAGCGACACACCTGGGCCCAGTTCTGGTTCCGTCCAATGCTCCTGTCATCTCTGGCTTTTCACTCTCCTTTTCAGGATTGTTCTTGGTCAGATTAAACCACTTAGCCAGAGTATCCTAATTTGTACAAGGAATCTAATAAATTCTCTCCTGCTCTTGCTTCCCATCATCTGCCCAGAGTGGCACAATCCGTGGTGTTCTACAATCAATTTTTAAATATAAGATTTGTTATAATCTGTGAAAATCAGTTGCCTTCAGGAACACAGAGCACTGGGTGTACTTTTAAAATCCCAAGAGATTTCCTTTTGGTCCTAATTTAGAAAACTAAGTGAGCAGATTAACAAAAGACTTCATTGACAAAAATCTGTCAGCCTTCAATGCCAATTTATTAAGTTATATCTATGAAATACATTAACACATAATAACTTTCATTCATAGAGATTGGAATCCATATGATAGTGTCCAAAGGCATGGGACGTGTATGAGTTAATTACATATCCAAATAACATACAATATGCATTGTACCTTGGGCTTGTGGCGTTTTAACATAAAACAAAATCAATAAAAGCACATGGGGCTTATCATTAAAGTCACACAAACACTGTCATTTGTTCAATCTATATACCCCTGAAACAAAGAGGGGAAGATACAAATTTTAATGACTTTAAAAATAAAATCATTTCAGCTACTTTATTTACTCAGCAGTCCCTTCCTCTCCCCTCCTGCAGGCGTATGCCCCAGGGAGCAAGACTTGCCTATCACCAGCTCTTGCAGCCTAGCAGCACTGCAGTGAGTGCTGTTATGTGACTGATCCTCAAAGACAAATGATTCAGGGACGAAGCTGAGAGAGTGCTGGGCCTGGTGTCAGGGGTCAGGAATTCTAGTCTCAGTGTTCCAACTGGCTACTGTCTGGCCGACGTCCATGCATGTCATCTCTCTAAGCCTGACTTTCTTCATCTTTGCAATGGTGTAACTTGGACTAGATAAACCCTATAGGTGATGTCAGCTCTGGGATTCCACGGCATTTCTCAGTCGGCCAAGATCTCAGTCACTTTGTTTTGTGCACTCTCAGAACAAGTGAGAAATGACAGCTAAGTATGAGCTGGGTACAGCTGAACTCTTGACAGGGCCTCCAGGTTCTTCACGAATCAAATGGAACACATACAAGTGACTTAAAAGATGGTTACACAGTAGGAAACGACCTCAGAAATCCTTTGGCTTAATCATTGCTGCAATGTAAATAAAGGAATGGCTTCTACAAAACTCTTGGTTTGAATATTCTCCAGTGCAGGAGAAATCCCTACCTGACTGAGGGGAGAAAGTCATTTGGGTAAGAAGTCAGAGTGGCTTGGCCTGGACCTGAAGCTTCCCATTCTCAGCTCTTTTCTCTGGGAATACATGGGCAACATCCACTTCCCTTCTGTATTGCCCTATGGGATAGAGGATAGTCCCGTCTTTGTTCAATTTTTTCCTTTGGTCATTACACTGGGTTGTATTTACCAGGACTAGAGGGAAATTTAACTGGTTTGGGATTTTGAGGCAGGAAGACAGAATTCTGGCTCTGTCTGCTGTTAACTCACTGTATGGTCCAGGACAAGTAGTTTCTATTCAGACTCACATACTATTTTCTTCTTAGAATAGGGTGATGGAAGAGATGGAAGTGAGGGAATCTCAGAGCTGGGGAAGCTGCAAGCAGAGTTGTTAGAGTGGGGCCAGGCATAAATTTCCCTGCTCTGACTTACATTCTTGTCACTAGTGCAAAATGACTCTGGGGCTCATGGTTCACTGAATTTTCCAAAGGGCTAATTTCCAATATGATGGAATGATATTAGTATTCAGGATAACAATGTACACTTAATGAGAATTCTGCTGAAAATGAAAAACAATTCCAGCACCTCGACTCTAAAAGATCAGGAAATCTGGAGGCAAAATATGCCTGCATATGTTTTGTGAAGTACAGAGTATAAACAAACCTGTCCTAAACATTAATCCCCAGTGTCACACCCATGGAAACGGGGTTGCACAAGCACTTGAGAAAATACATTGCAAGAGCATGTTGGCATCAGCCATCCCTCTTGCATAGTGAGCTAGTTGAACTTTTCATCCAGAGTGATTGAGAAGCATAGAGTTGGAATTTCCTCCTGGTGATTGAAATCAAGCCACAGGCTCTGGAACGCCCTCTTACTGAACTGAACCTGAGATGTTTCAGGAAATGAAAAGACATGGTTTTTTTCCTGTTGTACTTTAATTAAAAAAAAAATTAGAAATTTAGTAACCTACCGATTCTGTTTTCCCACATAGATTAAAACCAGGCTAAGGTCAAAATGTGAGCGGCGCATGAATTTTGACCATGTTCTGGACTGTGGAGGAACACATACTTTTCAAGGTATCTTGGGTTATCCTAAAACTTCTAGGATATTCAAGAGTGTTGAATACCAGACTTGAGATTAGCAACAACTTCTTGCTACAGGTAGCTGAGAGAATGGGTTCCACGTAGGATGAGGTCGGTGTTTCTTCCCTTATATGCTTATGAGAAACTGTCTTTGAGTAGCTATTTTAAAAAGACATGAAAGTAAATACCCATCACTTTGTAAATGACACTCTTCATCAAGTGGAACTCATTTTCACAATAATAACATATCCGCGTGCCTCAAGTTAGCTCATGGATCAACTAACACCAACAAAACGATTAAAACCTCTGCAGATAATGGCGATAGTAGAATAACACGTCTGGGCAAAAAATAATTTACTTCTGTGTTCCCAGGGCGATGAGGTACTCAGTAAATGTTTGTGGAATTAATTTGAATTTAGCTTTTTGAGAGAGATTTAGCCAGCAGAGCACTCCTCCTGCTGAACGAGCTATTTGGAAGGCACATTCCCCCCTTCTAAATCTTTGAACACATGTCACTCAGCCCTTTTGGGGGAGATTGTCACATGTTCTTAGAAAGCATTTTTCCACCTGTTAAAAATAGTGCGCTGATGTTTGCTACAGAGAGAACTGCCTCAGAGCTCTGAATGGAGTCCATTTAGGAATATTTGGCATATAGAAAAAGATACATTGTTTAAGATTTTAACAAAACCAGCAGTAAAAACTTGAGCTGCATTTTTCAACAAAAAAAAGATGTGAGAATTTCCCCAAAGCCTTCAGTGGTTTAGGATTGGGGGAAATTTCTGCGCTGTGTGTTCCAAATCCACCAGCTCCCTTGTGGGCAGGGCTGAAGGCGTTTGGCACAGGCCTCCCTTCAGTGGAGAAAGTGAATGATTTCTCTGGCCTCCTTTGTGCAAATCCTTTCCTGAAAGTCTCAGCCACTTGATGTTCTCATGCACTGTGGAGACCGGTGAAGACAGGACATTTTAATTTTCTTAACAGGATGTTAATTCTGATCTTGGCACCAGGCTAGAGAATGATGAAGCCTACCAATAAATATTTTGCTCGGAGTGGGTCAAGGGAGCATTTTCCTGTCAAGGTAGTTTTGGAGTTAATGAGAAACCTCTTTTTTGCTTTAAGCAGAGGGTAATTCCTCTTTTTGAGACACCCTTTCCCGTGGTCATTGTGGGGCTGCCCAACTTCTTTCAGGCTTCACTTCCTCTATGAAGATTCTGGGAGAACCAGGTGGAGGTGACCACACCCTTTCTGGGGTGCTCACTGAGTGCTGTGCTGTTTGGGGAAGCTGAAGGTGAGGAGGAGGCCTGGTGCAAGTGAGTCTAGAGGGGCCAGAAAATGCAGTCTCACACTCTTAACGAAGGTACCCGAAATTAACTTGTATTAATTGATTTCCAACAAGTATTGATCAAAGACAACCACTCAGCCAGTCACTATGTTCAGGAGTCACATGTCTCTCTGTCTCTGTAGTTTTCTGGCAGCTAGAGTCAGAGTAATTTGAGGGCCAGGTTTGCCCTCAGATTCACCTGTAGGACCTCCCATGCAAAGAACATTTAAGATCGAGGCCAAGTGCTGGACGTACCTGGCTCTGTGACACTCAACTGCTCTTGGGCTACACAGATTGCAGAAAGTTAATCTCCTTCATCCAATGAACTCAGTCTTTGATACAGCAGTGCAGAAAAAGTGTTTCGACCGAAAGACATGAGCCCGCCGCAACACAGTGTCCACCTTCTCTTCTCAGGAGAAGAACTTGTCTGGGCTGATTAGCTAATTTCACATTCAAATCCCTTTGAATATTTTAAGGAAGAGATACCTGAATAACACTCAGCATGGAAAGGCACAAATCAAACCTCAAAGCAAACCTGCAGAAGCTTCTCCAGGTTTGCTGATGAACATTGTCCTCTTCTCCAGAGAATAAGTCCATGGTTTGTGGCTCACTTGATCAGCTTTACTCAAGATCTGTTACCAAGTTTCCTTTTTTTTTTTTTTTTTTTTTTCTGAGTGATCCTCTGGACAGCTTTCCCAGGTCAGTGCTCAACATAACAGGTTAAGATGATAATATTGTTCATACTTAAAGTTATTCTTTGGCTTAAGTGGATTGCCGTTTAACCAGGAAACATCAGTAGTTTTTGCAGAAGCCTTGTGTAGAATCTGTCTTTGCTCTTCATGGTGTCCTCTAGGTTGAATTAGCATCCAGAAGAAGTGTCCATGCGATGTGCTGAGTATGCTATTGCTATGTTTTTATATGCTCGTGGAGCTCACATTTACTTATTTTGGCATCTGTTTGCATAAACAAAGGAAAGACAGCTTTTCTCATAGGCAGTATATGGCATGAAAATCAATTCAGTTTTGGAGAACATTCATGAAAAATATTGACTTTTCCATTCTTTCAGGCTAGGCATGAAAGTACATGGAAATACTGATAAAATATGCTTGCCTCCAGAAGGCTTGTACTATTTTCTTGAACTTCCTATGAGTGTTGTCTGAAGTTTCTGAACTGAAGAAGATTTATGATCAAGCTGAATGATAGTTGGACTGCTGGTGACAAGAGTGAAACAGGGAGATGTGGGAATATTCTTTAAGCCCTGACCCAAGTAGATCATGCGTACCTTCAGTGCTCCATGTTTAGAAACTCAACACTTCTCCAAGTAACCTCAATACTATATCTCTTCTCTTCTGCTCCCCCCCCCCCCAGTTAGAATTCTCATCAGCAGGGCATATACAGTGTATATTTAAGGGCCATAAATTTCATACCTAAGCCACTCTCCTTGTAGAATATCTTCTACCCCGAACCAGAAAACCCATGACTATAATTTATATATGAATGAAGAAAATTAGAAACTAGGAGGCATGGCCCCTTTATGCAGTAATTTCTGCTTTCTCCTTATAGCAAGAAGGCTCCAAAGAAGGTTTTGTCTTCCTTTGTGTAATCCACCAAAGAGATGTTGCTGACGTTCACCATCAGCTTGTCCCCTTCCTGCAAGGAGAACATGGCCCCAAGGTACAGGGGTTGGAACCAGTTGCTGCTTATTTCACACACTGACTTGGTCCCTGTGAGCAGCTGGGAGGGCTCCGGGTAGCTGTCTGTCACCTTGGTGATGACCACGATGATGGAGTCTGGCTTGTTCTGTTGTCTCCCTGGACTGATGTTACCGCACGCAGAGGTGGTTCCACGGAAGGTTATCTGGGAGTAAACAAAGTAGTCTCCCGACTCTGGGATGACCAGGAATTTGTTGGTGTAGTTCATCCGGTTCTTGGTGAAGGCCAAACCTAGCTCATGTTCCCAGTGCAGAGCTGGAAACTGATTTTTCAGGTGCTGTGTAGGAGTTTGTTTCACAACTGCAAACACAAGAGAGAGGCTGAGTGAGTGCAAGTTAGAACCCCTGGGCTTTGCTGAAAAGAACCTTGTGCTAATCTCAAAGAAGAGTAAGAGGATGAAATATGACTGACAGCTAACAGGGGCTTGGGGAGGGATGAGGGGAGGGAATGTGTAGGTTTGTGTGGGAGAGGACGGGCATGTTTGTTTGAAGAGCATGAAAAGCGTGTTGTGTGGGTATCCTGGCCACCATGAACCAAGCAGATCTACTCTTCCACACCCTTCTGCCATGATGTTTTTGCTTTGGAGCCTAAAGCCATGGATTGAATTCCTTACGACCATGTGCCAAATTAAACATTTTGTCCTTTAGATTGTGAATACTGTGTATTTTTTCTCAAGGATAAGAATGCTGTTAATATACCTTCCTTAAAGAAAACAGGGCTAATAATACTTAAGGAGGGGATTAGGAGATATGGTATGTGTCAAGCTCTGGCTGGTAGGAACAGCCTCTGAGCTACATTCACTTTTACTGGCTTCCTTATTTCAGGCATATTCTGCACCAAAGAGGACATTTCAGAGAGAGAGAGAGAGCTGTTCCCTGTCAGTGCATTCCAATGCTGTGATCCAAACATGCGCAGTGATTAATAAACAATTATTTGGCATGACATGTTGGAAGTGGAGTCTTAAAACATTTTGGAAATCCTTCCATGTTCTCAGGGCCAAAATGCTGTGTAAGTCAATGTAATTGACTTGTGGAATGGGGGAGAGGGTCTGGGCTTTGCCAAGTGGCCCTTAGGCAGCTATGATTCTGTGCAGGTTCATTCTCTTCTCCTAACCTCAGCCTCCTATCTGGAAGCCAGGAAGGAGACTCTTTCAGTGTCTCAGTTTCAAGATAAAGTGAATGCAGCAGGTGTGAAGAGCTTTGCTGCAATGACAATATAATTGTATTCATTTTTCCCCAAATAAATCAGTCTCTTTCATTTCGACAGATTAAAAAAATAAGCCTCATTTATATCTGTTAATCTGAACAACTAATTTGAAAATAGTATCATGTAATCCAGCAACCAACCGTTGTTGAATTCCTATTACTTTGTTTAGTGAAATCTTGCAGTGTTTCTAATGTTGGTTTTTTTTTCCTGTCACGATTTTGTATTCTTTAAAAACAAACCAAAAAACAAACACATTAAAATCATATAAAAATAAGTCTATTTTATTTTACATCTTTTACTATGCTCTTTTGTTTGCATACTCATTAGCATATCTTATATAAAACATATTAATGAATGCTTTTATGAAATATGTTTTAGCAGAAGAAAATGAACATAATCAGGCTTGATTCAAACCATTGATTTCAAACAAGACAATCTACAATGAAATGCATACTTTTCAGGAGAAATCAAAACAACTTGATTTCCCGTAACTACTTTTGAAGCCCCCAGACATCCTGATGATGTGCCAACATCACAGTTTTGGGATAAGCTATGACTTAAGAAACCTCTTTGGTACCTGCATGCCCAGCAGGTGCCCTGAAATTCCTGGATTTTCAAAGGTGTCTTTCCCATTTCTAGGGTTTCTTCTGCAACTGTGGCACTTGTCCCAGAAGTGTGTGGAGTCTTTTTGGCCCCATACTACATGACCCCTGGAAAGCTTTGGTGCTATTTTGCAAATTCATGCAAATAATTTTATTAATGGCCTTGGATTTTTAGGAGTGTGAGTCATTCTTTTCTGGATAATGAAGTAATTTTTAAAAAGTCCTTAAATGATTCAAAACCAAAATTCATACTTCTAGCCAAGGCATACTCTACTCAGCCAGCAAGCAGTTAGTTTTGTGGACACAGCAGTGAGCAGGCATGTAAAAAGGAAGTTCGCTGCAATGAAAACTGCAGTTTCCATGAGACCAACGTGAACTCTCTCACTTCTGAATCATCTCACTCAGGATACACAGATTTAGTACCCAAACCTCAGTTTCCCTATCTGTGAAAGGGAACAACTATTCCTATTTCCTATTAGACTGATGCACAGATTTAAATGATATAGTAGAAGTAAAATGCCTACTACAGTGCTTCACCCTTTTGGGACCTCAGTAGCAGAAGAAATTCCTCCCCAGGCTTTGACTCTTGTTCTTTGGAAGAGGGGTCACATCTCCATACCCAGGCGGTCCTTAGTATTTTCCTCCCTGTCCTATTCTATTTCTCCCATTTTAGACAAGAGGAAGTGCTAACAGCTTGGCATCCTCCTGGTCTTAACCTTGTCTCCGGGACTCACTGTAAACAATTCAAACATTAGTCAGATACTAATACAAATACCTTGGGCCCCACGGGCATTTCCCTGCTTGGGTTTAAATTCCCAGTTCCTCGGGGAGCTTTAAAAACACACTCTGCCCTCATCTTGCTCCGTGGTCTGGCGTATCAGGTGTTAGACACCCGGAATTTCCATATGAGACCTGGGAAAACGGTGACACTGAGAGATTGCTCTTAATACTTTCCCAGTGGAAATTCTTTAGAAATAACTTCCTGGTACCAAATGTCCAATGACATCATCTTGATTCGGGCCCAGGTAGATGCGCTAAATTGGCAACATGGTGCCAGAACTACCTGAAGCTCACAGGCTGAGCGAGATCATTTCTGAATGGGTGTGTGGATGGAAGAGAAAGAAAGAGAGAGGAGAGAATGGAGGCTGATAGAGCTGGAAAGAGAGCAGCCCCAAGACAAAGAGGAAGAAGACTTTTGAAAGCCATCAACTGAGAGAAGTGTGTCACCAAGGGTGGTGGTTTGTACACTGTCAGTACCGAATTACCATGGAAAGAAACTTCAGGACCACAGCCAATGGTCACCTGAAAAGGCAGAGAAACTCACCTGTCAGGTGTGCCCTCGGCTTATCTCTGTCACCTCTGAGCGATGTGTCTGTAAGAAAGGAGAAATGCATTTGTGTGAGCCAAAGGGTGGCTGGAGTGAGCATAGCCCTTCGGGAGTCATCACCTGGCACTAGCGGTGAAGGCCAACATCCATCCCCTTCAGTTTGGTACCATTACTCTCCTTTTGAGTTTTGGGTTGGCAGGTGGTATCTATAGTAAGCATCACTGGGGCCAGAGTGATGTCAAAGAAAGAATCCTGTTCAATTAAACACAGATGAGTGCTGGTCCCTGGCTTGGGGCAGGGTGTGTAGCTTGAGAGCCCGCATTTCCATCTCTCAGATGGGTGTGACACCCCCAGTGTGGCTGAGGAGTGCTCAGCAGGACTCCTGCACAGGGCCAATGCCCAGCAAGGCACAACTGGCCTCTATTTGCACAGGCTTCACCATGAGAGATAACTGGCCTTTGCTGCCTCCCACCCCCCACCCCTGATCCCTTGAGCTGTATTTACTAAGAGATGCAGGTGGGCGGGTTCATTCTGCAGCTATATGAACGTTTACTACCTCTGGGCCATTGTTCCTGCATTAGCTCTTGAAACACCTTAGGATTTCCCTTTGGGTCTCAAAGATGATTATGCAAGAACCTTAAGTGTCTTCTAACTGCAGCGAGGACAACCATGTTGATTATTGACATTTAAAGGAACAGACGCTACTGTGTACTTTTGATGTGCTTGGCATTGTTCTCATCCCCTTATGGGAACTAACAGATTTAATTCACACTGTGTCCATCATGGAAGTACTATTATAACTGTATTAGAGGTGAGAAAACGAATTAAAAAAATGGAGATAGAGACCTGCAACATTGTCCAAAGGTCACACTGCTAATGGATTCCAGAGCATCAGCTCCTGGCCGTGCATGGGGCCATGGGCTCATTTTGTGGTTTTTTGCAGTGAAAGAGGAGCCTTAAGTGCTCCTCTGAGTTTCTGTCCTGCAACATGGGGCTAGCAAAGCCCATTTGCAAGACTCCTGCATACGACAGCTATTAGAAATATTCTTGTTCCTCAAAATAAAAGCATCAAAGATAAACACACTTACAAGCTCGCTGATGGGAAAGTCCAAATCTCGGTTCTCTTACATTCTGTTGAGAAATCAAAAAGATATAATTCAGACTACCTGTAGTACACCCTGGGCAGATACCCAGCCGCTCGTAACACAGGCAAGATCAGGATGGTGCTGCTCTCAGCCCGAGCTCTCTGGCATGGGTGAAACAGCGTGCTAATATTTTGGTTGATGGGAACCTTGCCCCTCAGCTTTCTACACCCTTCTCCTAGCGCTCCCCTCCCTGGCTTTAGTCTCTCTGATGCTGGTGTCTGAATCTGAGCTCAAAAGTCTGTCCTCAGTGCTTTTCCTCTGCTATTCTAGGGAACCTTGGTGTCTTCTCATTGCTTATTTGAAGAAACCATCATACTTGTTTTATTATCCTTTTTGCCATTCACTTTGCTTTTGCCACTAAAATTTGAAAATTGTATTTTAAAGAAATAATACAGTAAAAGGAAGAAGGATCACCGGCAACTTCACCACTGCTCTGCCCTGTTTCTGTGCAGCGCATGAGGGAGTATTCACTCCTGTGATCCCAGCCAGTCCCTGTAGATGCCATGTGACAGTGGAACAGAAAAGCCACTTCCTCGGTGGCAGACAGACCCTTGCTGAACCGTGGCTCCATCGTGTGTGAACAGTACCACCCTGAGAAAGACGCTTCTCCTCCCTGAGCTTCGGGGTCCCCATTTGGAAGATGGGAAATACGGTTCCTCAGCTTAAGTGATTTGTGGGGCTAAATCCGAAAACGGCTGAGTGAGTGCAAATAGCACCTGGCAAATGCGAGCTACAGTTCATGAAGCTCCGGGAAACCGTGACCTCACCTTGGGAATAATATCACCTACTTACATTTTTCCAACGTTGTTAACAACAACAGCAACAACAACAACAACAACAACAGCAACAACAAATCCCTTTGTCTAATAGGATTTTAACTCAATTCAGGCTCCAGCATTGGCTCTTGTAACTGCATAGCGCCCACTAACAGGGGATCCGCTTGCTACCGTGAAAGTTGATCTGTGTTGCATCTTATATGTGTGTGTTCTGTGTTTGTGAGATTGTGTCTGTGTGAGTGGGAGGGACTAGACTTTTTTCAGCAGAAAAGGGTGCATGTTGTACCTGCATCTGTGTGGTCTGGCATTGTCTGCATGGGTGTCTCTGAGCGGGCCTGTGGATGTGACTGCATGTCCCTCCTGAGTCCTGCTCTGACCACAGGCTTCTGTGCTGCTGCCGGTGCTCCTATGGCATCCACACTCCACACTCTTTGTGCTCTAAGGCTTCCTTACTTGTCCTTGTAAGCTGGAAGCTCTTTTGGGTGTGGAAATCAAACCTTGTCTTTGAATGATTAACTGACGTAGGTGTTTCTCCAGCTCTTTTCCACGTGGTTTCTAAATCTGTCACCACTACTGCTCTGGCTTCCTTGTGGTTTCCAGACCTGCACTGTACTTCTTTCTTCTTCTACAAACTCCAGCTCTATCATTGCTATGTGACAGTTCTCTCATTCATGCGTCTAGGCCAGGCCTTGCACACTGCTCTCCTCCATTCTGCTGACACCTTCCAACGGGTCCTCACGCCTTGGCCCCTTCCCATCTCTCATCCATTTCCTGCTGCTTCTGAGGGCTTTTTCTAAAGCAACACTTTATCAAGACACAGCTGCACTCATGGCCTTCAGTGGCTCCCACAGCCTTCACAACACAGCCCTGTCTTATCCTGACATTCACAGCCCCAATTTGCCACCTCAGTGCTGTTACTCACTATTTAGTCTAGCAGCATCTGTGTTCCCAGCCATCACAGGCAACCACAGTGCATGATTCAAGGGACTTAAAGATGCAGATAAAGTGCAGCTACTATTGAATGAATGGGTTGTGACACTGCTGTGCTGAGACCTTCCCAGGCACCATTTCCTTCAGCTTTAGGGCAACATGTAAGATGAAGCTAGGCCATGTTTCCATGTTTCCTCTGACAATGGGATTGAAGTGGATAAATGACCTTCTTGGAGTTCTACACCTGGAAAGTAGAGGGGTAGGATTTGGATTCAGGCCAGTTGACTTCGGAATCCCAAACACTAACCCACCACACCCTCCAGCTTTTGCACAAGTGCCTCCGCTGATGAGACAGAAGCTAAGTACCAGCCATTCTGTGTATGGTGACGGCAAGCCTAAAGCTCAGAGACCTGGTCCAGAGGTGGGAGAGTCCAGGGAAATTGTCCTGAACTGAGGCTTACAGATGCAGATGTTAGCCAGGGGAGAAAAGGGGTAACTGTTTTGGCTTTGACTGTTCCAGACAAGGCCAATAGCTTGTGCAAGTGAGAGGAGGGCCAGCAGAGCATGGGGACCCCAGAACTGAGGGCTTCTGCTACCAAATAGCAGACAATGTGCACTTAGTGTAGGCACAGGAGTGCGATAACCTTTGATGTGTTTAAACCCAATGTATGACATAATAACTTTGCTGAGCTTAATGGATGGAGAAGCAGCCCTCCTGCGAGCATCCGCTCTGGACTGTTGCCTGACTTGCTGCTCACGGAGCTGTGAAAGGAATTGGCCCTCTCCTAAGGCAGAAAGCTAAAGGTGGAGTCTTTGAAGAGAATTAATGCAGAAATTTAGGAAAGACAGAAAGTAGAACATGGGGAATGGAAGTTATTTATCAACAGGTAGAGAATTTCAGTTTTGTAATACGAAATGAATAATGGAGATGATGTTTATACAGAATTATGAATATATTTCATTCCAACAAGCTATATACTTAAAAGTGGTTACAATGATAAATTATACATTGATGTATTTCCTACAATAAAAAATTAGAAAAAGAAAAAAAAGAAAAAATATTTTAAGTGAACATAATCTTTCAGTACTACGGCCTCCAGAGATCTTCATCAGGCTTTGCATGGGACCTAGTTGTAGATGTTCACTGAGAGCTGCAGGACAGGGCCAGGAGCCAGAGCCAGCAGACCACAGCACAGATCTCAGTGGGATGACAGGGTGCCTGTGATCACCAGTGTGTGTTCCGGCAACACAAAGTGGAACATCCTTTTCCCTAACCCCTTCCTTCCTATGGGTCATGGAACTTTCACTGTTACTGGACTGTCTTTCTTATTTACCTTGACTGGTGATCCATGACTCAAACTGACCATGCCCTAGAAACATGGTCATTCATTGAATTAGTCAACCCTTCAAACTGAGAAGAGGAAGAGGTGGACAGAAGGAGGCAATGGCTATCGGGTGCTAGGCCTTACGCCGAGCCATGATGTGTGATCTCCTCTTCATACTTCAGCTGCCCTGAAGGGTGTGTGTGTGTGTGTGTGTGTGTGTGTGTGTGTGTGGTGTGTAGGGGGTGGGTATCACCTTTTTATACCTGCAGGAGCCTTTGGAACAGGGGCTTAAAGAGGTTAAGCACCTGCTCAAAGTGAAAGGTAAGCAGAGGGCCAGGGATCTGAAACTTTGGACAAAATACAGACCCTCGTGCACCCTGTAGGAGCTCCATTAGGAGCAGAAAACAGAGCACATGAATGAGCTTGAGATAAGATGTTCTTGCAGACGTCTTGGCATTTCTCCAGGGCCTTTACATACATTTTAACTAATGTTCCACTTAACCTTTCCTCCCGTACTCTGCAGCCACTTCCCCTATCTTTCCATGAACAGGAAGAGAGATCCAATTCTTAGGATCATAAATGCTGCAACTGCAAAAGTAGTAAATTTTTTTATGATCTACAACACCCTTCTCCTGCATGTCTAGGAGAAATATGTAGACATTTGCCTCCTTGTCACTGCCTCGGGCTTCTCCTTGCTTATTCTTTTATAAGCATAAATTCAACCAGGAAATATATTTTGAACTCATTTCATTTCACCTTGCTCCCAGGAGCTCTGGATAGGGCTGTCCAGGCCATGCTTTGCACGGCTCTAGAGCTGCTAGTGTTTGCAGCCTAGTAAATTTGTATATCACAGCTCTGTTATTTTTGGATGCCCTGATTTGGGAATGTCAGCTAACTTCTGTGATACTGTTCTTACCAATAAGAGCTCACAACAATTCTTTACTCCGTGACTATTAGGCTGGCTCAGAAAGACCACACGTATAAAGTAAGTGTCCAGTTCAATTTTTTTTCTATTTTGGGTTACGATGTATGTTTATGGTATGCATCTTTGGTCTTCAAATTGGAACAAACTTTGCATCACTTTAGGACAACTAGCAGATTTTAGGTCCCTCATGAGTTCTGGCAGCTTCCCACCTTCCCCCAAGATAGCTATGCCATAGACTCTGGCAGTCTATAGTTTGTTTTTGGCCTCGTGCTCTTCCAGAATGGACAGTTGTTGAGGGAGTAGGTAGTAGTCTGCTTCAACTCCTCAGCTTGCTGTTGCTATAGGCCTGTGGGTCTGGCTAGGGAGCTGCTGTGCCTGTATGGGGCTCCTAGCACAGCTGGCTCTCTTGGCTTCCCTTGCACTGTGCAGGACGTCCTCCTTACCTACGTCTGCTTCTCTGCCACTTGCTCTCGTCTGCAAATTGGTTTCCCTCCCAGGTGCCCTGGGGCTTTCTCAGGCTATAAGAGAAGCACTCTCTTGAGGAATCAGTAGCTCTGAGATTGATCTGTACTTTTATCTCAAATGTCTGTTTCTTGCAGACAGCACTGAAAAGGATTATCTTTATTATTTTCTTTCCCCAAAAGAAAACAACTTGGATGAGATGAAAATGCTCATTCAAAGTGGGTGGGCAAGGAGATGGGGTCTCTCGAACATCAGCCCTCTGGCAGCAGCCTTCGGGTTATCTGGCAGAACTCTTCCTGCAGTGCATGAAGAAAGGGCACTCATCTCCCTCTTCCAGGGGCAGCGAGTCTAAGGCTCAAGAGGTTTGCTACTGTGCCCACCCCTTTATCCTTCTCTCCATCCAGAAAACACCTCATGAGTGCCTTTTCTGTGTCAGGCACAGCAGGCTGACCTTGGAGGAGAAAAGGGTGCTAGCATTTACAGAGCACTTACTATATTATATGGCAGGCTGGCCAGGGTGAAATCCTCCTGACCACCCCAAGAGGTGAATCCTCTGTTAGATAGAGGCATGGGGTGGCTAGGAGGCAGATGTGGGTGGGCCTGAATCTCAGTGTCACCTTCCTTACCTGCATGACTTTGGGTGTTCTTACTTTCTCTAACCTCCAGTTTTGTCATCTCTGAAGTGGAGATGATGGTGGCACTTATTGTGTGACTTCAAGGATTAAATGAGACAATGGGGGCAGGAAAAAGAGCGAACATGTATTCCATGTTATGTGCTCGCTCTTTTTCCCACCAAGATGCTGGACAGGATGTCCACCATGGACAGACACCAAGATGTCCCACCAAGCAGTGGACAGGAGTGATTTCTCAAAGCCTTAGACAGGGAAAAGTTGAGGGTGGCATCTGTCATATAATAAGTAATTAGTACTCAAAGCTGTGTGGTGGTGGCGCCGTGGCTTTCCCCAAAGAGTGTGACTCTGAAGCCTGCGCTATCTTCTCCATGGTCTGGGCAGAGATCGGGGCACCTCAGAGACACCTGAGGAGGAAGAGGAATGCAGAGAAAAGAGGCAGGGCCACTTGCAGGGGCCTTTAGGAAAGGGTGAAAGTGAGATAGGAGGGAATCAGGGAGAACTGGCGTGAGTGCATGCTAAAAATTCTAGAAAGAGGACCCGGAAGGGAAGGAGATAGCAGGGAGGCTGCCTCTGCACAGGAGGACCTTCAAAGCCATCCCTAATGACTTACCGCACAGGACTGCATGTCCTTGGTGAACCAGACTGAGAGCTGCAACATCAGTGTGCCCTGCTCTGTCTGGGGAGCCAGAGCCATGCTCCAGAGAAGTAGAGGCCTGGCCTCAGTGCACCTGCAGGTCAGAGTGGGGCCTGGGGATCCATTGCAGTGGCAGTGGAAGTCACTGATGAGTCCACAGATGCCCAGACCACAGCCAAGTGCATCAGGGTAAAGAGCAGACTGGGGGCAAGGCAGGGTTTTGGGGCAGGATTGGGTAGAGAAGGAGACATGCAGACAGCTTGAAAATGTCAGCAACCAAAAATAATCACCTACAGCACCCAAACCACTGGCCTGGCGATGGCTGATCCCAGAGCCTGTCTGTGACACAACTTCCTCACGTAAGGACACTCCTGGTTATAACTGATAACTACTACCATTTATGAATCCTCACCTCTCTGCTAGATGTCTTCAATACTTTAATTGTTTCTGTCTATGTAAAGAAACTGAGGTTCTGGGGGTTAGGAAACATGTCATCAGAGGCAAGACCAGAATTTAGCCTGAGAATGAGCTTTTGATCCATGATCTTTCCAAGATGCAAATTTGCTTAATAATGTCCCTGAAGGTATGAAAATATTAGACCAACTCTACCTTTTTTTCTGTAGGGAACACATACATTTTTGTAGGAAAGCATGCATTTATAAGTGTGTCTCCTTCTTCCCTTGAGGTCTAGCCCCCAGTTCTTCTTCCCCCTGGCTACTAGCAAGAGCTTCCAATTTCTCACTTGCTTACGCCATTGTAGGCACATCCCTATGTGGGAATTCTTTCATAAAATGAAGTGTATTCCATTATGTCTGAGTGACACAGCTGCCTGTCTTCAATCAACCTGTACACAACAAGTGGAGTCTGGCTTCACTAGAAGGTGACTTCTGCCTGTCCTTTCAGTGGCCTGGCAGATAGCCTGTGAAGCACATTATATCTGGCCTTAAGATTTCTTCAACAACGAAAGCATTTTATTTCTCTAATCTCTTTGAGGAAAGCATTTCCAAACTGGAAGATTTTGTTTAGATTATATTTCTATAACATGAACACACTTAGCTATCTCTTCAATCCTTACTTTCCTTTCTGGGAAGATGGGCACAGCTGTAACTCTCTTCAGGGCAGGAGTTGTGGTGCCCGATTAAGGGGAGCCATAGACTTGGTGTGCAAGTCTCTATGCTGGAGCTGCCAGGAGGTGCCAGGATGGCTATGGCTGCTCCTGTCCATGGCTCTGCTAGTAGCGTTCTTCCTCTAGCATGGCAATGCAATCTAGCATAGGTCAGACCGCATAGTTTCAGATATTGGTTCTACTACTGACTAGAGATATAAGCTTGGACAGAGCTTTTTAGGTCTCTGAGCCTCAGTTTTTCTGCTTACCAAATGGGATCAGGCTGCATTCCTTTAGTGACCAGTGATCATCTGACTGGCTTTTGCTTCAGCTGGACCTCAGCAGCAGTCTACAGGTGCCTTCCTTCCCCCTCTGGGAAATCTATGCAAACCATCCCTACCTCCATGGCTGGGCTTGGAGAGCAATGGAAAGCCTTGGGGCCTCTACACCAAAAACGCTGTTTCCTTGTCTATCACATGCCTCAGACTTGAGGCTCCTTGAAGTCCAGATTGGGTTCTCCAGGTGGTTGTCTGGTACAGAGTGGTGGCCACCTCGCAGTGGCTGTCACTCTTTCGGGACATGCACAGTGCTCTTGCACAGACCTTACTGGAGCTGCCACAAATTGATATTGACCCCCACTTCTAGTGGCAAAGGAAACGGGCCCAAAGAAAAGAAATCATGAGCCTATTTTCACATGGCCAGAGTATCTAAGAGCCAGATTCTGGGATGGAATCCAAGGCCTTCATACTGAGCTAGAGCCCCAGGCCTTTTGATAATTTTTAACGTTGACACTGGGTTACACTAAGTCACTAAATGACCCAGGTTGGGTCTGAGCTTATGTTCCTCCTGCCTCAGCCTGCCAGCATGCTGGGATAACTGGCACATCCTACCATGCCCACCTGGCTATCTTTTCTGCATGCCCATCCCTCATACTGGCACATCCTTCCAGAGCCCTTCTCTGCCCTTCTTGGCCTGCTCTGCCTGGCACCACTGGCCTCCGGGCTGGGCAGCTCCCTTGCCCCATTGTGTCCTGGCTCCCATGCAGGCCTCTCCTCGCTCCTGTTCTCCCTGGGGTCCTCACACCCAGGGATGGTCAGGAACTGGCCCCTCCTGCGCAGGCCCGGTGAGTAGCTGGCTTCCTGCTCTGACCCTACGTGTTGCCAGTGTTTCAGTACACTGCTGTTGGTGTGTCTTCACAAATATGCTGCTCTTCAAATCCCACTCCCTCGCTTTTCTTTTATGCTCTCTTTAGTGTCCAGCTACTTTTTTTTTTTTTCTTTCAAGATTCTGATTGCTATCTGTGCCCCTATTTCTCCATCCTTCTCTTCTGATCCACTAGGGGTTCCAGCCTGGTCAAAGGACAGCCCCAAATGTCTCCACATGTCCCCTCATGGGAAGGTGCCTAGTATTAGCCTGCTCCCTCCTCAAGCATGTGAGTTGGTTAGGCATGGGGACAGCTTTGGGGTGCCGTTAAGACATTCATGCATCCTGCTGCCGCCACCTCCCTCCCTTGGGCTGCAGTATCCACTCTGTGGTTTTTGTAAATGGACAAGGACTGTCATTGTCTCCTGCTGGCCTGGGGTAATCTTGGACGTCATCCTGGTGATCCCGTTACAGTTGGCGTTCTCCTTGGAACCCAAGAGTGTACAGGCTGCTGGAGGCCACTCGGTGCCTCAGCCGAGCACAACTGTCTCCTTCTGCCTGTGCTCACCTTCTTGTGGGAACCAGTGGCCGGGTGGTCCTGTGGATCAGCCTCTCACATCAGCAGCATTTCCGGGTTGTGTGCGTATTTCTACATCTTACGAGCAGTGGCCAGTGGCCAAGGTTGCAGCTGTCTGCCTGTTGGCTCTAATGGCACTAGGAGAGTCACGTGTCAGCTGCGCTTTCGCTCTTCTGGGAAGCTGGCTAGGATGCCTTCAGTCCCGCTTCCCGAAGAAACCAATTATTTTCTCCTTTAGAACTTAATACTTTGCCCCGAAATTCCATCAGGATTACACAGGAATATTTGTTTTACAATTAGTAACTAAGTGTTTAAAAATTAATAATTGAATAATTGTTATTTTAGACTTTTAGGTCCTTTTTATGTGTCTAGTCCTGAATTATAAGTTTTTTCCTTGACACCTTTGGTTTCCCTGGACTCTATTTCCTTTTGTGGCTAACCTTTGCCCAGCTCCCAATGAGATATTAGAGTTAGACAATCAAACAGAGGGTTCTTTATGGACTACTAAAACCTAGTATTTGTAGATGAATTAAGATGCATTATGCGCATGCGTTGATTCACCCCAAGGAATGTACTCATTATGTACTGCAAACATGCATTAATAACAAAAAAACTGAAAGAAAAGGGAAATTAATATTTCTAAACTGAAAATAGGAAATTGGTTAAAGAAAGTATAGCACACACATATAAGAATATAATAGTGATCCATAGCACCATAATGCTGCGAACTTACAAACACGTAAATGAAATCACAATATATTACTAAACTAAAATGATAAAAGCAGGATAAAATGGAAACAAAGCTTTTAAGTAAGGGTGAAGAGGGGTTGAAGGGAGGGGAGGGAATTGGGAAACAAAAGAGGAATGAAGATGTATCATGTGCAGGAACAAATTCCCTATGATGAATGTGCTTGTTGTGTCCGTTTAAATTGTACCAATGAACTGAATAAAAATCATATGGAAGTAACACATGCCAAACTGTTAATAGTTATCCTCTTTAAAGGCTTATGGGTCATGATAATTTTCTTCATCTCTAAATCTGCAATCTCTTAACTTTTTCCAGTATCGTGTGTCAGTTAAGTAATTTAGGTTTATATATCTCTCTATATATAGATATATAGATATATCTCCGTATCTATCTATATCTATATCTACTTTTTTGAAGAAAAAGAATGTTTCCAAATACTGAGTACGTCCGCATATCAGGATCATCATTTTCTACGAGTACAGCTTGGAGGTCTTCCCGCATCACCACGCGAAAGGGCGCCGTGCTCCCTGCAGACTGCGAGCAGAGCCCGATGCACAGCCCGCGCAGGTGCCAGGACGCCCAGCGGGAGCAGAGCACTTACCTGCTGGAACTGCACGCAGTCCTCGCCTTGGGCCCAGAGCTGACTGACCAGCAGGTAGGCGGTGAGCGCCGTGAGGATGGGGAGCGACAGCAGGCAGCAGGTGAGCAGGCAGCGCACGCCCTGGCTCCTGGCTCCCAGCTGGGCTCTGGCCTTGGGCCCGCCGCGGCCGCAGCTCTCCGCGGACAGCATCTCCATGCTGGCTGTTTCTGCAAAGCCCAGCTCCGGGTCTGCCATGCTCCTGCCGTCCCGGAGCTGCCTCTGACCCGGCCTTGCCAGAGATCCCCATTAAATAGGGGAGAAGCTCGCGCAGTGGGCGAGCTAATCGCTCTGTCTTCTCCTCCCCTTTCCCTCTCCCCCTGGCCCTGCCCTGCCAGGGAATGCACCGCCTACAACAGAAACCAAGTTTGGTTTAAGAGGAAAAAAAAAAAAAAAAAAAAAAAAAAAAAAAAAAAAAAAAAGAAGGAGAAGGAGAAGAAAGCTTTCCCAAGCATATTTATACACAGTCTATTCATGTGCTCCTTCCTTGGTTTATAGAAGGAAGTTAGGAAAGTCCCTGGAGGAGGAGAAGGAGAATTCATCAGGGCGGTGGGCGGGGCATAGGAGGATGTACCTGCCGCCTGCCCAGGAGCTCCGCTGGCTGTGCCTGCCCGGGGCGTGTGCGTGTGCTGCTCCTGGAAGTGAAAGTGAGGGCCGGGGAGGCATGAGTCTTGTGGACAGGGAAATGGGCGTCGCCCCTGCACAGTGCTTCCAGGGTGCCACTGAGCCTTCCTTCTCTGCCTCTCCCTCTGCCTCTGCCCACCTGTCTGCCTCTCCCAAAGAGTAAATCCAGAGAACTTTGGTACTGAGTTGCATCCCCTGCCTTTTTACAGTTCTTTTTTTTTTTTTTTTTTTTAGATAAGCGAGTGAATGAGTTTCCCAGGCTGGGCTGAAACTCTGAGCCTCTCACCTTAACCAGGTTCCTTCATCTTTTTGAGCCCGACAGCAATTGATTCCCATCGTATAGCTGGGATGAATACTGACCTCCTGGAAGGTGAGGTGTTCACCCTAGGTCATCCTGCGATTCAGACAGCGGAGCTAGGAGTCAACCTGCTCTTTCTAAGTCAGGGTGTGGGGTTCTGACCTCAACCACATGCAGATGCCTGTGAGAGGAGAGGGTATTTCTAGCCTGTACTGACAACAGTCTAAGTAGAGAGCAGGAGGTTGTAATGAGAGGTGTCTGTCCATGGGGGAAGAACATTTACACCTGTGCCGGGATTCGTCTGCAGTTAACTTAGCGCCAGTGATACATCTTGTTGTCTTGCTCCTGTTGGCTGTGTGTGGGAGCTGTGCCAGGTAATAAAGGGTAATGTTTGTTAAGCACTTACTTTGTGCCAGAGACTGTTGGAAGTGAAATATGTTAATGGCATTATTTAATAATGAGGTGGCCGTATTACCATTCTCATTTTGCTGATGAGGCAAACCAGTCATGTGCAGTCAGTGACCAGGCCAGGCTTGGGCCTCTGGCAGGCTAGCTGCGCAGGCTTCTGGATGTCAGCTCACACTGCATGTGCTAGCATTTGGTACATACACAGATCTCTTACCTGGGAGAAGCTATTCCTACAGTGAGGGCATTGAGGGGCTTCCTGGTATTGGGATTAGGCCCGGATGTTAAGCAGCAATGATACCAGCGAGGGAAATAGTCTCTGTGCCCAGATGGGCTACAGAAATCAGAGGCTTGGGGAATGGTGTGTGACACTTGGCAGAGGCCAGCACTATAGAGCTTCCATATAGTGTCTCAAACCCACACCCTCTAGGCCACCCAACAAGGACTTTCCCTGGCCTCGTCTTTCCACAACACTCTCTCCAGGCCTTGGCCTCCTCTCCTCCTGCTTTCCCAGGTTGCAGTCCCTCGGATCCATCATGGACCAAGCGGACTTCAAACACACTGCGTCCTCCACTGTGGAGGCTTCCCGTCTCTCTCGAATCCCAATGCTTCCCTCTTTCTTAACTGTGTGCAGAAACCTTGCCACACCCTCCGCCTCCAATGGCCTGATTCTCCTCTTTATGCTCTGGTAAATTTCTTTTCCTCCCCTGTCACTGAACACTTCATCTGAGATGAGGTTTGCTTGGTTTTCTGTCACTGCCCCTCCAGCCATCAGGTCGGGCAGGATGCAGATCAGACAGGTGTTAAGTCTCACCGTTTCCCTGTGGCTGTTGATTCTAACATCATAACTGTTACTTAATAGACTCAGAACTGCCATTCACTGAGCTAAGCATCATACATTCAAAGAATTCCAGCAAAGGATGGCTTTCATGTCTGTCAGTTGCCCTTGTTTGCTCTGACGAGCCCAGTGAGACAGTGCTTTGTGAGAATAGCCTAAATGTTCACTATTGTAACTTTTCTTTTGATAACTGAATAATATTCCCTGGTACAAATACATCAGAATCTTGTTTAACTGTTCACACATTGAAGGCTATTTGGGTTATTTTCAGTTTTGAGTTATCATAGATAAGCAGTTACAATACTCATGACCGGGTTTTGTGCAAATTTGATTTCTTTTCTCTGGTATAATGCTCAAGACTGACACTGCTCGCTTGAATGGTGTGTCCAACGGTGGTGTCTAACTGTGTGGGCAAGTGCTATATCCCGCTCCAGAGGGGTTGTATCAGTTTGCTCTCACCAGCAATGTGGGAAACATCTAACATCTCTCTCCAGTGCTTGGTGTCATTGCTATTTGTATTTCATCCATTCTGATAGGTGTGTAGTAAGTCTTCCTTTGATTTTAAGTTGTATTTCCCTAACAGCTAATCATAACGAGCATCATTTCATGCGCTTACATGCCATCTGCATCTGCACATCCTCTTTGGTGAAACAGATGTCTATTTTTGTTTCCAAGGGTCCTTCTTTCTTCCTACTCCACTCTCAGTGGATTCAAAGAGAAAAGACAAACAGCTTACAGATAAATGATGACTTATTGCACTCGAGTGCATACTGTGCACAAGGCAGTGCTTTTGATAGTGGGGATAAATTTTTCAGCAATTAATTCTTTTTCAAGCAATTAATTCTTAACATCTAAGATTTGTTTTCAATATTGAGGGTGGAATCCAAAGCCTTTCCATTGAACCACATCTCTAGCCCTTTTTTATTCTAAGATAGGATCTCCTTTGTTGCTAAATTTCCCACCCTGGGCTCAGATTTGCAGTCCTTCCTCACCAGAGTGCTGGGGTAATAGGTATGCATCCCCACTCCTGGTTCTAACTGACTTAGCGACATCCACAGCTTCTCTGCAAGGTCCTCATCCAGGGCTCAGCTCTCTTTTCTTGGGATGATGCTGATGGCTCTAGAGCCTCCCTTCTTTGCTTTTTTTGGGAAACAGTTTGATGAAAGAATTTTTCAGTGGCTGATCCACAGCCCTCTGCATGACAACAGAAAAATGCAACATTTAAAATGGGAAAACTTTGTAAAATGTAATTTAAAGCGTGCACGTGTGTGTGATTATCCACTGGGTGTTCTGTAGCTACTAAACCATATAAAACAATGTTTTTATTGTGCTGAATGTACCCTGAAAATTAGACTTAGAATTTTTCCTCTTTTTCTTTCTTAATCCCTCTTTGTGCTTAGTTTATGTCTAGCTGCCTTCTGGATTGCTCAAGTTCTCAAGTGAGGTAGGGCCAACTATCCCACTGCTAAGCATAGTAAATTCTTTTAATTTTTAAAGAACACATTTTGCTTGCTTAATGGCACCATTATGAAACACCTGCCATCATTGTGCTCTTGGAGGATGAGGCAGGAAGATCAAAAGCATGAGTTCTGCCTGGGCAACCTGGCAAATGTCTCTCTCAGAATAAAGAAGGGGGCTGGAGAGGTACTTAGAGGTACAGCCCCCCAGGCTTGGTCCCCAAAATTGGGAAAAAAAGCAAGGCATGATCATTTTCAGTAGATACATTCAATAAGGAATTATCTAAAACAGATAAAGAATTATAAATCCATAAGAAAAGCAGAAGTAACTGTCAGGAAAATGGACCACAGGTTTAACTAGGGGTGTCTTTGAAAAGGACATCAAGATAATTAAAGACTCAAAGGGTCTCAATCTCATAGTAACCAGAGAAACAGAAATCCTTAGGAGACACTAGTACACACACATCTGAGTTGCTGAAAGAAATGACCCTGTGCACAGAATTAGCAGAGCTGGGAGCCACAGAGCAGAGCGCACATGCGCCAGGAAGGGCTTCCGCTGCAGTGGTCTTCACAGTAGTGGAAGCCTGCATCTGTACCACGTGCTGTCACCAGGGGAGGTGACAGCACAGCCACACAGTGGAGTGTTGGGCAGTTGTCCAGATAAAGGAAAATCAGCAACACACCTCAATACAGGTGCGTCTTAATGTAGTAATACTAAGCGAGGAAGTAATCTCTCAAAGTTATACAGAGAAATGGTTACAAAAAGTTAAGGATAATGCACAGGATGAAGGAACTAGGAAGAGCCAAGTTGATGGTGATGGTGATGGTGATGGTGATAGTGATGGTGATGGTGATGGGCTTCATGAGACGTCATATGACATATCACAGTGTCCTAGCTTTCATATTATGTAATGGGATAATAGGTACTTAGGATATTGCAGCCAATTAGCTAACTGAATAAATACAAAGCAGTTCAAGCCTGACATCAAGATGAGATCCAAGGAGTGTGATGATTCCAATTTAGTGTAACTGTGCATGGTCCTAATGAATTCCAATCAATCGTGTGATTTTGAGGGGTTTGGTTCTATGGCTTTTCTTTTAACTTCTTGACTCTGGTTCAGATAGAGGATGCTGCCAGATAGTTGAGGTCTTGTTGAACCTGGTCCTATGTTAGCACTAGTAAGCATTCCCTTAGAAGGGCCTGGGGTTAGGGTTTGTATTTGTTTCTGGTCACCATATAGGAGGAGATCTGTGTTGTGAAAGGTTGGGAGAGGAGGGTCCATGTGGGAAGAGGAACAGCTGGGAGACAGAGAGATGTGCCAGGCAGTGACGGAGTGTCTGCGTGTTCTGAGGAAGCAGGATGCATCCTTGGTCAAGCATCCAGAACATGTCTTTGGACATCTTTTCTCTTCTGTGGCTCATACTCGTGGGTATTCTCTCATGTCCAGAGTACCTATTTGATGCTCAGAACTCTACCAGAAACTGGTTATACAGATATGGCCCAGACTTGAGGTCAGAGGTAATTACTACTTTGGTCATGAGTATTACCCGGCTTTCCAGCTAGACAATACTGGCTTTTGAGCTGTATTAAGCTGAATGTATCTTGCTAT